GAGAGAGAGAGGAATGTATCCTTTCTTGTTCTCACACACATCCTCCTCCATATTCTCGACTTTTCGTCCCCAAAGTGGCAGCTAGGGTTCCCACGGTTACCGTTCTCGGCGCCTCATGCCGGCTCCTCTAACGTTGGTCATCGGAGAAATCCCCCCTCGTGAGACCCGCTTCTTCCCTAGGCTTCTCCACTTCATGACAAGGCTCGATGCTGTTGCTCCTTGCGGCAAGGTCTAACTGTGCTACTCCCCAATGACCACTCATCGGTGCAACTCCTCCATGCAAAAAAGTGTGGTGTTCTTCCTTGAACCTGAGTTGAGTCTCTCTTTCCTTATCAGCCTCGCAATTCTTCCATCGCTCTAACCTAGATTTCTCCTCCTTTACAACCTGAACCGATACTCACTCAGACCCTGCTTTTATATTCTTGTGTGTTGGTGATAATTGATCTATGGATTTGTGTGTTATTGATCATTGATCTATGGATTTGTGTGTTGGCGATAATTGATCTATGGATTTGTAAATTTTATGTGTTGGTGATGATTGATAAGGTATCAACATTTGGTTGTATGAAAATAAGGGTATTTGCTTCTCAAGAAGTGGGTACCTGTTGTCCGCAAGGTGGTGGCCCTCCCCTGCTCATTGAGTAGAAGCAAGCTACTTCCTAATTCCCCTCTCCCATGGAGAATCATGGCTAGGTTTTGTTTGATTCCTCTTCGCCTTGTGTTTATAGCCTGCTTGTGTATAGATGTACTTATGTGTGTCTTCCTCAGGTTGCTTTTGGGTTTTCAAGTGGGTTGATATTGATCAGTGGTTGTTGGGTTTCTCCATTGGGGTGTCGCCTTTGTCGCACATGAAGCAATGCCAGACTCGGCAAGAAAATCAACGCCACCCTCTCCTCTCCCTCTCCCATCTTTCTTCATGCCACTATAGTTTAGTTCATGTTGCATACGTACGTCCTACTCATTTGAGCATGTTTGGGTTCCTATTGGGTGATCAAGTTAATGCCTGAGACATGAAGTGTGCATCGCAGTTTTTTTCACATGTCGAAAGCTAAGGAAAATCTCAAGTTGTATATTTACTCATCCTTTAGTTTCAACCTATCTGAGCAAGCTTTTCTTTTCTTTTATTTAACCAAACACATGGCATTGTAACTATGCCAAGTCTTTAAATAAAGTTCATTTATATGCTTTCAGATGGCTAGTGGTAGTGGTACAACACCAATGTTGCATGTTGTATCGGCCTTTTCTCATAAATCCTTATGGCTACACTTAGGTAAGCTCTCAGTTGTTGTAATGACAATTATTGCTTATAGTGGTTACTTTTGTTCTAATAGGCCAAGCCATTTTGTCAAAAGTAAGTGATCAAGTGCCTAAGGAAGCAAATTGAAAAGTTCATACCTAACAATGAGAACAATAGGAATACTCTATGCTTTATACCCAATTCTA